CTCATTGAGAACTGTGCAAACGATTTGGTTCAACAATGTAGACAGATGATATTAATACAAACTATCCTAGATAATAAAAAAATAAGATAAAATGGGTCCTTGATTTTCAGCCTGACCCACTCACCTCTCCATCTAATCAAGAAAATCTGATATAATTGCTATAAACCTAAAAGAAAACCTGTCATTTCGTGGAAACATAAAGATAGGTTAACTTAACACCCGGTTCACACTTCTTCTTCATCTTTTGAACAGGAGTAGAGGTTTATCCTATGTTTACTGTTTAGGGTTGAGTTTTCAATTCATTTTCTTAAAGTCAATTCTCTTTCACGCCTTTTGCGTCTTAGTTGCATTATCGCCTTGCTTGGTGTAAGATGATTAAAAAAGAAGAAAAGCGATTAAACGAAAGGAAAATTCGAAAAGCACCATGACCTTCCTCGAGAACTGAAATAACTGCTAACAAGTTGATTAGATTATTTACAGAACGTCATCTTTGTTGCTAATATCACAACGTCTCTGTCATTGTACCACCCGGTCTTCATCAGGAGCTTTTTGATTCGGGCAACCTTCAGGGAAGATCCATTCGACGCCCGGTAGATAGGTGGCCAAGGCGATGTTTACCCACCCCTCACTACTTTGTGGAGCAGACTCCCGCATGGAATCTTTCTTGAATTCTTCGTCTTGAGCTGTTCAAGTCAACGGTTTATCTATATTCTTGTAAACCCACTACATTCATTCGTCATTACGATTTCGAATGTAACCCTCTATCTTGAGTGGCTCTCGAATCTTGCTGTCGGTGAAAATTAGTATAAAATATATATGTAGCAGATGCTGGAAAAATGGTCACTTCTTTGTAGCGCTTCACTAAGTACCGGATTACTCCTGCTATGCTCTAGATTTATAAGAGTCAGATTAGACCAAAAACGGAGTATCGCTTTCATATCAGGGATGGAGCTGACCAATCATCACTTTCTCGCGTTGACAGAGTTTGAAAGGGTCTAAACGGCCTTGTGCTTGTGGATAATGAACAGTTTTATCTTAGAAATGATTAAAGATATTTTACTGGAATTCTCCAAGATTTTTATAGCACTATTGGACGATTTTGAGCAATAAGAATATATAATTACTATCTAAGCTTAACAGAAGAATCGTGATGAAATCGATCATAAACGAAAATGACATGTTCATCATTAATTAATCATAGCTAAGGATCGGAAGCTGGTGTTGGACTGAAATGAACTTCAAATATATATATATATATATTTAAATAAGTTTTTCGTGGGACAGAATTTAATTATTGCTAGGAAAAGATAATAAGAAGGCATTTTTAAAAGCAAAAGCCAAAATAAAACTAACGGTTTCGTCCCAGGACTTATCAAGTTATTTATTCTGGGAATTTAAAAGCGTGTAAATTCATTTTAATTAACGAATGTAATTAAATGGGGAAAGAAAAAAAAATTATGAATTTCAAGGAGACTAGAGTCCAATAATATTCAGACCCAGCAAGCATTCCCTCTGTTTACAAAGGGAAGGCTCACGGGATCTGATATACAAGGACTCTAAAACCTTGAGGTGAAATGTGGAGTGGGACCTCGATAAAATAATAAATCGGTCACCACTAAAATTTTCCTTGTATTTATCAAATGTTCAGCAATAGCAGAACCAGAACTGTTAGTCAATTGGCTATTCCTAGAGGACGGATTCAAAATCCTGGAGGGTAAATGCTGTTTAATTCTCGAATCCAAACGCTGGGATGTCCTACCTATGTAGTCATGTCCACAACTACACTTGTATTGGTAAATCACTGAATTAACATGATGGGGAGGTAGGACATCCTTACGAATGGAAGAGAAAGCAGGAAGGGTACCAAATATTACCCTATATGTGTGTGTGTGTGTGTGTGTGTATTTTATACCATGTTCATTTTCCAACATATTCAAGATGATCTTCGCCCTTTGTAACCTTTGTCACCCATGTAGGCACGGAACAGGCTCGATGTTGCTTAACTTAGATGATTGTACGAGAACCGCTGTTTCAGCATGATATGGCCGAAAGCCGTGCACCCATGACAAAAATCCTTTTTGATAATACTAACATTTTAAAAACATTTAATTGTAAAGAATATATAATTACTCCCCAAGCTTAACAATGATGAAATCGATCATAAATGAAAATGACATGTCCATCATTAAATAATCACAACTAAAGATCGGAAGGATTGAAATAAAGTTCAAATATATATATATATATATATATATATATATATATATATATATATATAACTTATTCAAAATGTCCTTCGCCCTCTCTGACCTTCTAACTTGTCCTGGAGTAACAAGGTACCTCATTGGTCCCTGTACGATTTCATTTTCACTGATCTTTGGACTTACATAACTAAAACTCCTCTCTCACATACCAAACATCATATGAGTTAAGTTGGATCTTTTCTAATTGATCTCTTTAGCTCTAAGTAGAAAATGATAATCCCCCTTCCTATTGTGACCTCCTGATCCAGTTTTCTTCTCTACCTTTCCCTCTTTTTAAAAATTTATTCACCGTCCTCTTGATGGTCCTTAAATGGACTTGGAAAATGGAAGGCGGAGTATGAATGATGGATGGTATCATTACTGAAGGCATAAATGATCTTCTTTCCTCTCACCATTGCTCAATTGGGAAAACAGTGGTGCTGACACAAAATGATTTTAACCTGTTCTCTTTTTAGCTAAATAACTCAAAGTGGTTTTCAGTGATTCTTACTACAAATGGTGTCAAGATAACTAAACTTTTTATCTGAAAAAAGTGGAGAAAAGAAACTCAATAAGTTTAGTTTTTTTGTTGTTTTTTTTTTTTTTTTTAGATATTAAACAATTTGTGGGATGGACAATTATGCTGTAGCACGATTTGGACAATTTTTTTAACTGTTAAACACGGTATATATATATATATATATATATATATATATATATATATATATAGAGAGAGAGAGAGAGAGAGAGAGAGAGATAACATACGTAAAGTTAAGCGATGTCTGGCCCACACCAAGTGAGCTTAAGGATAAAGAATTGAAATGGTAGATCTAACTCACTCATATCTTCTCTCCCACCTCACTTCCTCACTTCGTTAATTTACATATGCTTAATACGGCCCGTCAAAAATGTGTAAATTTCTTTTCATTTTTCATTTCAACCTTTGGAAGTAAAGTCTGATGATCCAGAGCCCTTTAAAAGGGTTGTGGTGAAATAATTTATTACATGGAACCTTAAAGTGGTCTGTTTTTATTCAAATTTATTTGCTCTGAATTTACATTGAACTCTCTGGATATCATCCTCCTTGGGTCTACCCATACGGATTACCTAGTTTTGCATAAACTATATATATATATATTTTCAGATTTTATTTTCAAGTTTTTTTCACTGCTCTTTGGATTGTCATAGCTGAAACTCCTCTCTGAATTGCCAAACGTCTTATGAATTGAGTTGGATCTTTTCTAATTGATTTCTTTAGCTATAAGTGAAAATGATGACCGCCCTTGCTGTTGTGACCTCCTGATCCACTTTTCCTCCCTACTGGTCCCTCTTTTTAAAACTTATTAGCCGTTCTCTTGATGGTTCTTGAATGGACTTTGACGATGGAAGCCATAGTATGAATGAAGGCCTGAATGATCTTTTTCCTCTCACCCTTGCTCTGTTGGGAAGACATAGTGGAATTGACACAAAACGATTTTAACCTGTTCGCTTTCTAGCTGAATAACTGAAAGGGTTTTCAGTGATTCTTATGACAAATGATATCAAGATGTCTAAACATCATGGTAACAAGATGGGTAAACAAAAAAGGCTAAAAATAATGGAAGCCTTATTAATAAAAACAAAAAAAAACAATACTTAATAATATTAACTATGAACATGGATACAATATCTTGACCGTGTTTTGAAAATGAAAACATAAATACATACATGCAACAAACTATTTCTTATTTAACAGTTAAAATATTTAATCCTTGAAAATGGATATATGTATCGCCGAAAGAGCTCGGATAAAAAAAAAAAAAAAAAAACATTCGAACAGTTTTTATATAATTTATCATCCGAAAACAAAAAATTGTTAGATCGCATGAAAAATTGTATAAAGAAACTAAATCAAAGCACATTGTCTGTCGTTTTCAAAAAAAATACACACAAACATATATATATATATATATATATATATATATATATATATATATATATATATATATATTTAAAGTGTGTTTATATTTATGAGATAAAGAGCTCAATATCAGAGATAGAGCGTATGTAAATATAAAATAAAGTGAACATTGAAGTCATTTTTCAGGGCGACAGGCTGTTTAATTGTTAGACGCAATCGTCAGGCGGCCTGACGATTGCGCGCAACTAAAACATCCTGTCGCCTCTGGGTTATTGACTTCAAATATATTATAATATATATATATATATATATATATATATATATATATATATATATATATAAATAGAAAACAGCTTGTTAACCATCGCCAGTTTAATAGTAAGCTTTAAGTATTGCATGACCACGCTCCTGGGTTAGTGGAGTCGAATAGGTTCTGATTAGATGTACGGCTACAAATCAGAATCGGAGAACAAAAAAGAAAAAAAAAACATTTCAAACCGCAAATGTTACAAGTCTTTCACCCCCGCTGGCAAAGCAACGTGTTTATTTTCTTTCTGGTGACCCCTTATTTTAAAATTATTTTTAAAACATGAAACGATAGAGGGGCGAACAGTAAGAGAAGGTCTGGAATTACACGATTAGATTCCAGGTGGATGTAACTCAGACGCTTTCCGTGTCTGTTCGTCCTGGTATGCTGGTCTATAAAAAAAAACAAAAAAAAAAAAACTCGCCTGTCAATTTTAATCGTGACTTCAGAGGCCACGACGAGAAGATTTGCTTCCGATTATCCTTACATCGAACATCTTTAAAGATAGAAGTCTGTGGAGGCTTCAAATTTGAATCAAACACAAGTAGCAATGAACAAACTGGCTATATTTTATTTGCTCCACGATAATGCAAATTCTTTCTTTTTGCCAATTCTCTTAACACTTTCTTTCTTTCTTTCGTCCTTTCTTTCGTTCATTCTCTTTCTCTTTTTATTTTATATTGTTTTGCACATAATCTTTGTCTCTTTCTTTCTTTTTCTTTCCCCTTGAAGAATTATTTACCGTATTTTGTCTTTCAAACAACTAATTCTTTCATTTTTTTTCGTTTAATTTTTAACCTCTTATTTTTCTTATTTACTTCTTTTCGTTCATTCTTTTATTTATTTTTCTTTAATTTCTTTTTCTGTTCCCCTCCAAACATTTCAATCAATGGTTTACCTGTGTTTCATTCAGCCATTCTTTTTAGCCCTTTTTTTCACTTTTTACATCAATCCTTCTTCTAGGCTCTACTTTTCCCTTATTCATTCAGTAATTATTTTTGGCCTTCTTTTCACTTTTTCATTCATCCCTTCTTCTTGTTCCTTCTTTTCTCTTTTTCATTCAGCCCTTTTCACTTTTTCATTCAGTCCTTCTTCATGGCCCTTCTTTTGCCTTTTTCATTCAGTCCTTCTTCCTGTCCCTTCTTTCCCCCCTTTTCATTCAGCCCTTTTCCCTTTTTCATCCACTCCTTCTTCTGGGCCCTTTTTTTCTCTTTTTATTCAGTCCTTCTTCATGGCCCTTCTTTTGCCTTTTTCATTCAGTCCTTCTTCCTGTCTCTTCTTTTCCGCCTTTTCATTCAGCCCTTTTCCCTTTTTCATCCACTCCTTCTTCTGGGCCCTTTTTTTCTCTTTTTATTCAGTCCTTCTTCTTAGCCCTTCTTTTTCAATCTTCTCTCATTCTCAGGTTTCATTTATCTTTTTCTATCTCTCTTGACTTTCACCAAAGTCTCTCTTACAGAAATAAAACCTCCTTTTGTCTTCCGCATTCATTCTCTTTCACTTATTCTTACTAACCTCCCCTTTGTTTTTATGATTCCGTCTCTCTTTGTCTTCATTCCCACTCTCCCATTTTGTCTTTCAACTTATTTCTCTCTCTCTCTTTCTCTCTCTTTCTCTCTCTCTCTCCATTCACCCTTTCTTCTTATACTTTTTAACCTCTCATTTGTTTTGTTTTTTTATTTCCTTCCCTCTCTCTCATTTATTATTTCCCTTATCGTCTTTACTTTCTTCTCTCTTTCTTTTTCTTTCTTTCTTCATTCGTTCACTTCCTCTTTTTTCTTTTTTTTTACTTTAAAATAACTCTTTCTTACTTATTGCAACTCATTTTTTTCCTTATTGTTTTTGTTATCTTCCTTCATATAATTTTTTTAAATCCGTTCTTATCATTCATTTTGTTTTATTCCACCTTATCTTATTTTTCTTTTCCATTTTTGTCTGCGTTTCTCCTTTCACTCCCTCTAATACTTTTTTGAAACCTCCTTTCTGTTTTTTATCCTACTCTTTGCAAATGATGCTCTCCCTAATGCCACCCCGACCACTAATATGTCATCTTTGTTGCCACCCACCCTCTTTGGATGCCAACAAATCTCTTATAATCATTTCCTGGACAATCAAAATACTGCTCAGCCCCTAATTACAATCCTTCTCATCGCTTATCATTAGTTCTTATCATTTTATCAAATTTATCTTTTGCTCATTGCCATTTTGTTTAAATTCCTTTTCTCTACAACTCTTCCATTAACATTGAAAAACAAAAAAGTGCCAAATTATGAGGACAGGATTTATGGCCAAAAAACGTCATTAACTCCTGCCCGGTCTTTTGAACAGGAGAAAAAAATTATCTCTTGCTTCCTGTTTAGGATTGGATTTCCGGTTCCTTCTAAAGTCTACTATAAATTTATACTCATAACAACTCAGCCTAAAATCTGACATTTTATTTATTTATTTTATTTTTCTCGATAGGAGTAGATAGGTTCGCATATCGTCCGGGTCATACTTCTCTCCGGTCATTTGTACAGGAGTTTAGGTTTATCTATTGCTTCTCATTCACTTTCACTTCGTTCCGTCTTAGTGGCATTACCGTCTTGCTTCAGGAGAATTGATTAAAAATATTAATAAAAATAGAAAACAAGATGGTTATCTCATCATCATTGTTACTTGTACAATCTCTTTTTTCTTTATTTTAGAAACAGTGGATTTATAATGCCCCTAAGTGCGAATTTACATCTGCGAAACTCGGAGACGAAAAATTTTTCTTTATTTATTTAATATTAATCTTCTCTTTCCTATACTTTGTAAAATATGCTGGCCTTAAACGCGTTATCCTGCAATAATTTGCTGGTCGAAGTTTTGTTTAAACGTAAACAATATTTGTCACTAAAAAGTGGGGGAAGGAAAAAAGCAAGAAACGTTTCTGATCATAATTCCTACGACCAACGAATGTCTATGAATGTTATTTTTTTTTTTTTGAGTGAAGAATCGTTTCTTAGAAGATAAAAACTTTCTTGGCGACAAGTAGAAATTACTTAACTGTTTATATCAAGCAGTGTTCTTTGAAATTGTGGCTCTTTCCGCGTGGTGTACTTAAGAGAGAAAAGACGAGCATTCAGTTTATTCTCTGTTTGTCTCATCTTGGCTGAGAAGGAAGTGACGTAAGTCGTTTCCGATTTGTCGCTTGCTATTTTCAGAAGTGGCAGTTATTTATATGTGCGTTGTTGTGTGCTTGGTGAATCAATACTTCAGGGTAGCCTGCCGGAATAGTTATTGTTCCGGTAGGGTTGATTGGGTGAACAGATATGATATTGAAAGACCCGAAACTTGTCATGACTTCAGGTCATAACATCACTGATGAGGCGATCCTACACACCTGACGAAGTGTATTCATAACAAATAGCATGAAACAGTCTGTCGCCTCTCAGTGTTGACTTCAATGTCCAGTTTTATATTTACATACGCTCTATATATGATATTGAGCACTTTATCCCATAAATATAGCACACCTTAAAACTGCATTTCTTCAAAAACGGTTCCAAAATAATTCTGTCCTTAAATTCACATATGAACTCAATACTAATAATAAAATCGCCTTCCTTGACATATTGATAAACACAAATAATAACAAATTTACTATTTCGCCATACAAAAAACCGACAAGCATAAATTCATGTACACTTAACTACAAGAGCGAATGCCCATTACTACAAAATAGCAATTATAAAGAATCTAATACATCGTGCAGAAACTAATTCATCCACAAAACAGATTTTTTACAGTGAACTAAAGAATATAAAACAGACACTTATTAATAATAGCTTTCCAAACTATATAGTTGATGAACAAATAAGATGCTTTCTTAGAAATCTCAATAATATGCAAATTGTACATAATACTGCTTCTACTGATCTCAAATATATTAATCTCCTATATCGTAATCAAATGCATACTAATTATAAACAAGATGAAAATATACTAAAAAATTTAGTAAATTCTAATATATCAACTACAGATCCTAGGAAAAAAAAATTAAATTAATCATATACTACACTAAATCTAGTATATCCAACTTAATTCTTCGCAATGATTCTTCTCCCCGGTTAGCGATTTGCAAAAAACCAACATAGTTTATAAATTCAAGGTGCCCTTTGGGAGAGTGTATCTCCAACGAATTAAATAATATTTATGTTGGTCACACCACAAACTCGCTTTCACGACGCTTGACACTACATTTTAATGAAAACTCTAACATTTTTAGGCATTTAAAACAACATGCCTGCCCGCACACACTATTCCGTAAAATACTTGTCGAAAACACAACTATACTTCGACATGAAAACAATAGACAAAAACTAAAAATACTTGAAGCATTATACATCAAACAGTTAAAACCCAACCTAAACAAAATCAATTATGACATCTCTACAAATATTCTTAAGTGTCTATAATTGGTAACAGAAGCCATTGGTTTATACCAACGGCTTTCCATACTTCATTCTCCAATTCACTCTCGTGTGGTCATGTGTGACGTCATGAGATGCGGTGCGATTTTCGCTTCTAGCGTCTTATATGCGCGTGTTTATCGTTGCTTAGTGATTAACTATGTAAACAATGACAGACTATCATCACTGTCGTGTCCGTATATTGTTTAATATGTTTGTAATTGACATCTTTGATAATGGCTTAAGTAAGCCGAAAGCTTTGATTGTATTAAAAAAATATGTATCAATATTATGAAATTTTTTTCTTCGTTTAATGATGTTATCAAACTTATCAGATGTTACGAACAGGCACGGAAATTTACATAAAATAAATAGACAACGCTTGTCTATATTATTTAATGAAACGTATATATATATATATATATATATATATATATATATATATATATATATATATATATATGGATTTTTAAGAATATATTCAAAGAAGGATGATGGCGATGTAATGTGTTATACACGACTAAAACTTTAAATTAATCCGCAATCCTGCTTGAAATCCATTCTTAAAATACACATACACTTAAGAAATCCATTCTAAAAATTTACACATTATATATATATATATATATATATATATATATGGCCTGACGATTGCATCTAGCATGAAACAGACTGTCGCCTCTAAGTGTTGACTTCTATGTTCATATATATATATATATATATATATATATATATATATATATATATATATATATATATATACCAGAAGAATTGTCCAAATCGTATAACAACATAATTATCCATCTGACAATATGCTTAATAATAAAAAAACATTTACCTAATTGAGTTTATTTTTCAGGTTTTTCATATAAAACGTTTAGTCATCTTGACACCATTTGTCGTAAGAATCACTGAAAAATTTTTGAGTTATTCAACTAAAAAAAAAGCAGGTTAAAATTAATTTGTGTCAGGCCCACTGTCTTCCCAAATGAGCAAAAGTGAGAAGAAAAAATTCATTCAGGCCTTCAGTAATGATAACAACATCCATCTTCAAAGTGCATTCAAGAACCATCAAGAGAAGTTTAAAAAAGAGGGAACAGTATCGAGGAACATTGGATTAGGAGGTCACAAGAGGAAGAGTGATCACCATTTCAACTTAGAAATAAAGAGATCAATTAGAAAAAGACGAAACTCAATTCATAAGACGTTTGGTACATGGGAGAGGAGTTTCAGGTATTACACTCCAAAGAGCAGTGAAAAAAGACTTGAAAATGAAATCGTACGTGAAACATGTGAGGGCAACTTGTTGTTCTTGGACAGAACAATAGAACGTTGAGTGGGCGAAGATCATTTTGAAGTTGGAAAATGATCCTTAAATAATATATATATATATATATATATATATATATATATATATATATACTTATTTGAACTGTAAATAAATCCTTCGTCAGCTTGTTATACCAAGAGAGGAAGTTAAAAGGTTAGATAGAGCGAAGATTATTTAAGTTTATTTAAATCCTTCAAGAGCTTCTGATCCTTTGGTGTGATCGGAGAATTCTCGTAAGATATCAATTCTAAGATACAAGTATTTAAATTTTAATATAACAATTCGACAATTTTGGTGTTACACGTTTTGGACAATTCTGCGGTTATACCAGGTATATACCAAAATCAAAAATGTTAGTATGAACAATAGACCAATAGACCTGGCGAAAAGAGGTAAGGGAGTACTGGTAAGAAAAAAGCAAAAACCAAGAAATCCTTACACAAGAAGACTAATAGGCAAACAATATATATATATTAAGACATTTTATGTTTAACATTCTTTTTATATATACAAATATTTAAGTAAATGCTCTGTTTATAATAAACAGTCTTAAATAACATTTAACAGCCTGAATGTCCGAGAAATTTTCATAGAAAATATTCGTCCTTCGACAGGATTCGAACCTGCATCCGATACTGAACCGTCATATAGCCTGACGTGCTTTTACCGATTTCGCTACAGAGGATCGATCGGTTAGCAAAGTCGAATTTACTGCTTTTAAACTTCAATCATCCATGAATCTCTCACATACATTCATATTTGCTCATGGCGTATCAAATGTAAATTTAAACAATTACATTACACATTACTTAAATATTTACTTAAATATTCGTATCTATAAAAAGAATGTATAAACATAAAAACGTCTTAAAATAATTGTCGGACTTTGTCCATTTCATAAAGTGTGACGTCATTTGTTTACATTTTGATACGCCATAAGCAAGGCGATGTAGCCACTAAGACGCAAGGAGAATGAAAGAGAAAGAGGGATTTTTTTGTCAAGAGAAAGGACAATAAAAGAACAGGTTTCAGAA